AGCATACATTGTTTACGTCCAGCGGATATTCTCTAAAATGGCACCAGGGTGATGCGGAGGAGACAAATTGTTGAATAAAGTCTTTTTTTTTTATTTTGTGCACAAAAAGTATTCTCGTAGCTTCGTATAATTATGGTTGAACCCCTGATGTCACATGGATTATTTTACAGATCTCCTTGCTACGTTTCTGGACTTGGGAACATTTCAGTTGCGTTGCTGTCTATGCAGGGTCAGACAGCTCTCAGATTCCATCAAAAATATCTTAATTTGTGTTCCGAAGATGAACGAAGGTCTTACGGGTTTGAAATGACATGAGGGTGAGTAATTAATGACAGAATTTTCTTTTTTGGGTGAACTAACCCTTTAAAGATACGATTTCCAGCCCATGCTGAGTCTGACTCAAAATTTTAAAACTTATTTGGATGATTTTAGCTAGACTTGTTTATATGTAATATGTGCATCTTGATTTAATCTGTATTTTATTCCTCTTCAGTCACTGGATCTTCCCCAATTCTTTTAACACATCTTTATACAATAAATAAAAAACAAGAACATATCATCTCTGATATTCTCTGATCTCAATCAAGACCATTTGTTAAATGTTATAAATCCAATTTTGAATATACAAATAAGAAATGCATACTTTTACACATGGGACTAAACCGCCAGTAGGTGGTGCTGAATCATTCAGTAACAATGTTTGGACACATTGTCCAAACATTGTTTGGACAATGTGCAAATACTTGTTCTGATCTTTGTTTGGAACTATTTTCGTTGGTGAAATAGAACAAAACAGTCAATACTGTGTCTAAAATGTAAGTAACTTAAAGGAGACATATTATGCCCCTTTTTACAATATGTAATATAAGTCTCTGGTGTCCCCAGAATGTGTCTGTAAAGTTTCAGCTCAAAATAACCCACAGCTCATTAATTATATCATTTTGAAAATGCCTATTTTGAGTGGAAGCAGAAACACACTGTTTTTCGGCTCTCTTGTCTGCTCTGAGGCTGGGACTCTAAACAGTGTTCTGTGCTCGTCTGTGCAGCCAAAGACAGAACAGTTAGCATGTTTTGCACAAACTTTCGCCATGGCATTAGAGCTGTCGCTTGCGAAATCAAAATGATGGCGCCTTGGGTGGAAATTTACAGATTAAGGGGCGGTTATATTATAATGAGATCGCTTTGCCATGTCACCAAGGGAGCGAAATCAGACTGGGGACCTGATTATAGTACTTAAAACCTGGAAAAGTCAGATTTTCATGATATGTCACCTTTAATATACTTAAACTACTTGTTTGTTGAACTAAAATCAATGTAACATTTCCAGACTGGAGACAGTTTTGTAGTAATATGACCAAAAATATTTAAGACCCACTGAATCTGAATTAAAGACATTTTAAGTCTTTTAAGGCCTTTTTTTAAAGGAAAACTTTTTAAAGAGCAGGTCATATGGGTTTTCGAAAAATATATTTTTTGCAGTTTGTAAAGTAGCTATCCTTCAATGTAAACAGTCTGCAAAGTTGGAAATCAAACCTTCTTAGTTGCATTTGTTTAAAAAATCACACATAAAAAATACTTTAAAAAAAATAAAGAAAAAGACGTGCATTATCCATTGACAAAGCGATCAATGCATTTTAAAAAAAAGGACCAGAAACTAACGCTAATTGGCTAACCAAGAAATAAAGACTTAAAGTGAGTAACTGGATGTGAATGTCACAGCACCTTCTTTATTCATATTTAAGCATACAAAGAAACTCAGCCATATGTTTAGAGCACCAGCACACAGCACTCTCTCTCTCTCTCATAAACATTCACACACTACCTCCTCATACCGGCACTCAGGTGCTGCATGACTCTCAGGTAAAGCTACAAATACTTGTCTATGAAGCTGGTAATTTGTACCCAAAAATAATGCTGCTACTTTTTAATACAAATGAAAAGTTTCCTAACCATCTACTGTACAAAAAGAAAAAAAATATTGTTCTAGGATCAGTTATCCAATCACTCCGTCAGTCTATGATTTATAAAAAGAAACAAAACCTACTTCCATTCAGTAATACTGTGTAGTGAGAACATAACTAGATTTTCCATCTCTCCCAGCCACTGAATCATTAATAGCAGTGAAACAGGAATGCACACACAGAAAGCTTCAGTATGAGATCACTAATGGCTGCAATGACCATTTAGATTTCCATAGTTCCATAGCAGACCGAGTTATATAACGTATGGGAATCTAATTGTATTAACTTCCTAAATGGCACACCGAAGATAATCGACAATCCCTTAGTCAAGTGCTGATCAACTGAAAACAACAGGCTTTCTAAACAAAATTAGTGAAATGACACTCAGTTGACTTTTTAGGGAAAAATAAGGGAAGCCCTGAAGGAAGATCCAGCTGTCAAAGGCAACATACTTTTTTTTTTTTTTTTATAAAGGCAACTTATTCACATCTTTGACTCTGATAGTTAAAAGCACTACAGGTATATCATTGATTACTGTCTCTTAATGTCATTATCAGTCATACTTTGATTACTATTGTTTAACATAACTGACAAACACAAAAGGACACAAACATACTGACTTAAATGCTACATATTACAGTGACTGCTTCAAATCAGAGATGCGAGGCTCACATGCCCATTCAAACACAGCCAAGATATTATATATGTAGCACATTCAAAATCCAGAATTGAGACGTATCATGTTTATCACCTCCAAACTGATAAATTCTGTCATTTAAAGATTATACATTATCATCTTTGTGCTATTTTTTCCTTTACAATCACTCTCATTCTTTTTAGAACAGTTTGAAAACAGGACAAATTAAAGTGAGAACTAGTCAGCTCCAATCTAGCCATCATTGAAAACAATATTATTTAAAAAAATTCAGGCTTTCACATTTAAACAAAAATACTACAGTAAATAGTTTGCTTTTAATAAGGCATCACTTGTTTTCCCCTTCAGATGTCATTCAGTCCTGTTTTTCCTTCTTTTTTTTTTTTTGATTCATCTCTAGGTCAGCCATAAAATCTTTTCATGCCCATCAGTTTCCGTTTCTCAGGCTGGTGACAGAAGTATAAAGCTCTAGTCCTGCTGCATCTCTCTCTCTCCATCCCTCATTCAATCCTTCAGGCTGTTGATAGAAGCACAGATTTTGAGGGCAGGACCGAGTTTGATGTTCATGGTGGACATAAGATGCTCTTCCTTAAGTAGCATCAGTGCCTGCCCATCAATCTCCTGTGACAGGAACTGGGATGCCAGGTCCTCACAACCTGACAAGAGATGGAGGAGCACATGATATAATAAATATACAGGTGAACACAACACATAGGTACATCCAGAGGAGCATCAGAACACTAACCTTGAAGAGATGAAATGAACTGACACACTTCCTCCACACTCCAGTGAGCAGGGTTGCCAGATAGGAAGTGGTTCTCATCCACTGGGAGGCCACATGGTGCTGTGTCATCCAACTGAGGGCCATAGTGGGTTGGTCTTGGGCATGAGAAGGATGAGCTGGGAGAGAGTGACAGGAAGTCTTCCTCTTCCTCACCCTCACAGCTGGAGATGTCCTCAGAACGACTAGATTCTGAACGACACTGCGAAAGAGAGAAAAAATATCATAGATTAAAGTATATTCATTAAAATAAGAAAAACATAATTATTTAAAATGTTTTAAAACTGTGGATATTAAAAGTATGATTTTCAGTTCCCTTTGGGTGACTTCGTATATCTACACTGTTGTTCAAAAGTTTTTGAATGTCTCTTATGCTTACCAGCTCTACATTTACTTGATTAAAAATACATTTAAAACAGTAATATTGTGAAATATGATTACAATTTAAAATAATAATTTTCTATTTTAATATATTTTAAAATGTAATTTATTCTTGTGATGGAAAGGCTGAATTTTCAGCAGCCATTACTCCAGTCTTCTGTGTCACATGATTCTTCAGAAATCATTCTAATATGCTGATTTGGTGCTCACTAAACATTATTATTATTACAAATGTTGAAAACAGTTGTGCTGTTTAATATGATTGTGGAAACGGTGATACATTTATTTCAGGATCCTTTGAGGAATACAAAGTTCACAAGTACAGCATTTAATTGAAATATAATTTTTTGTAACCTTATAAATGTCTTTACTGTCACTTTTTATAAATTGAATGCATCCTTGCTAAATAAAAGTATTAAAAGTATTTACATAAAAACTTACTGACCCTAAACTTTTGAATGGTAGTGTACATAAGATTTTAAT